TGAAGTCCAACCAAAGTTGTAAAACAGCTTGCTCACAGTCACAGTATGAGTTATTGATAGTGGCACGATTAGAACTCAGGTCACTCACTTGACCCTGATCTACTGCTTTTTTCACTCCAGGAGGCTGCCTGGGAAATCTGAGCCATTTACCAGGAAACTAACTTCATAGCTGACTGCCCCCACCTTCACCTTTTCCCTATTTACTGACTGGGGCATTTGCAGGATTGAGATTCTTGTCAGTTCTCTTGGTTACATCAAATATGAGCAGATGGTGTGGTTTTTTTTTTTCCCCTTCAAACTTCTGGTCAGAAAGGTCAGGAAGGCAGGGAGGAAGCCTTCTGGAGCTTGGCCCCTTACTGCCCCACCCCCACTCCAGGCTGTTTTACTTTGGGATTCAATTGGAAGCCCTAGCCAAGTAGAAACTCTGGTTTTCTGATATTCTTTGGGAATCTGCTAGTGTGCTTTCTTCCCCATTCCTCTCAAAGGGTCACTGTGAGCATAAAGTTAAGGAAACGATCTGTGAAAACTTGGAAAATGTCATCTGGATGATATAGGCACAAAGTATTGTTTTAAAAACAACAGAACATGGGGAAAAAATAAAAACAACAGAACATGAGGCCAAAACAATCAAAGATTTTGTCATGGGAGAAACAGCAGAAAGGAGAGTGGATAGATTAGGGACTGCCAGAAATTCACATTGAACTGCCAGTTGACATCATGGAGGGCTTGGACAAAATGCTGTATCCTTACCAGGATTTTTTATTTTTAACAGGTAGAATAAGGGAATTTCAGAGATTAGAGGGAGGAATACTGAGGTTACTTAAGAGAGAGGTGATAATTAAGTGAACACCCGCTTCATTTGCAGGCCTCAAGAGATATTGGACTACCAGAGACAATGCCACAACTGGACTTGTAGTGTATTCCCATTGGATATGCATTTCTTTGGGGTCACAGGATAAAAGGGGAAAGAGTGGAAGGTAGCTTCCCCATCACCCCCAACCCTGCCCAGTTCATGGTGCCTGTGTTCATGTTGTGGGTGAACCTTCATCCTCTCTGGACAACTGGAAGAAAAGAGAGCAAGTGTCCCAGTCTGACAGTTTTAAAAGATTCTGTGGCCACAGCCAATTTATTTTATTTTATTTTTATTAATTTATTTTGATTTATCAACAATCACTTCCATAAGCTTTTGAGTTTTAAATTTTTCTCCCCCTCCCTTCCCACCTCCCTCTCCAAGATGGCAGGCAATCTGATATAGGGCCACAGCCAATTTAAAGAGGCTATTGTCAACCATATGGTAGGAGTGTATAAGATGTCTTCTCCTAGAAGCAACTCCTTCCACTTTGGGTGATCTGAGCACGTGCAGCAAAAACTCCCATTATATCCATTTATCCCATGTCTATTGTGCTAACGTGCTTTTCCATGTGAGCACTGCGGTGATGTGTCCCCTATATATGCACCCCTCCCTGTGTGTATATATATTCTTTCCACATATGTTCCTCCTGGATATTTTCTCCTTTCTGGGTTTTCCTGACACTTCTCCTACCAGTCTGATCACTCCTCAGTCTCCCTTCCTGGCTCTTCACCCACATCATGCCCCATAACTATGGGTTCTGCTGAGGTTCTATCTTGGGCCCTTTTTCCTTCTCTTTCTATACTGTCTTGTAACCTCATTAGTCAATCAGTCAACAAACATTTATTAAGTGCCTACTATGTTCCAGGTATTGTACTAAGCACTAGGGGGAAAAAAAGAGGTAAAATATAGTCCCTGCCCTCAAGGAGCTTTCAATCTAATGGAGCCTGGATATAACTATCATCTCTATGGAGATGCTTCCTAGTTCTATATATCCAGCTCCAGTATCTCCCCTGAGCTTCAGGCCCAGATCAGCAGTTGCATACTGGAGATTTCAAGTTGAATGACCCAGAGGCACCTTAAATTCAACATATCTAAAAATGGAACTTCTTCATTATCTTTCCTGCTAAATCTCCTTCCCTTTTTCTGTTGAAGGCACCACCATCCTTCCAATGCCTCAGGTTTGTAATCTTGGCATTATCCTAGACTCTATTTCACCCCCATCCAGTTGGTTGCTAAATCTTGCCATTTCTAACTTCACAACATCTCTTGTATCAGACTCCTCTCTACTCATACAACTACCATCTTAGTTCAGGCTCTTGTTACAACAGCCTCCTAATTGGGTGTCTTTGTCTCAAATCTCTCCCCTCTCCAGTCTGACCTGTACACTGTTGTTGTTGTTCAATCTTTTTAGTCATATCTTACTCTTTGGAGTTTTCTTGGTGAAGATACTGAAGTGGTTTGCCATTTCCTTTTCTAGCTCATTTTATAGATGAGGAAACTGAGGCTCACAGGATTAAGTAACTTGCCCAGGGTCAAACAGCTAGTAAGTGTCTGAGGCTAGGTTTGAAATCGGGTCTTCCTGACTCCAGGTCTGGCACTCTATCCACTGTGCCACCTACTTGTCCACCTATACACTACTGCCAAAGTCATTTTCTGTAAGCATATATCTGACCATGTGACTCCTCTACTCAACTGACTTCAGTGTCTTATTGTCTCTAGGATAAAATATAAACTTCTGTATAGCTTTTAAAGCACTTTGCAGCCTGGGCCCAACTTAATATTTCCAACTTTATTGAACATCATTTCCCCTCCCTCACTCTGGGCTGTAGACAAACTGGCTTTCTCACTCATGATACTACATATCCCACCTTTGTGCCTTTGCATTATCCATCATACCTGAAATGCATTCCCTCCTTCCCTTCTCCTTGAAGAGCTTCACTCTTTAAGATGGAGTTCTGGCACTGTCTTCTATATGAAGATGCAAACCATAAAGTACTATATAAATGCTGGAGAGGATGATGATGATGATGATGATGATGATGATGATGATACCATTCACTATCCCCCCAAGTACTAGTGCCTTCTCTCCCAAAGTACCTTTTATTTAGCTGTTTTTCATGTTTTTATATTTATTAGCTTCATATTTATAAAGTACATATTTATTTATTGTCTGCCTCAGTAGAATGTAATCTCCTCAAGGGCAGGGACTGTTTCATTTTTTTTTTTGTATCCCCAGTGCCTAGCACAAATTAAGTGCTTAATAAATATTCGTTGATTGATGTGTTCCATATATGCATCCACTCTTTCCACTCATGTCAAGTGTACTTGTGAGAGAGTGAGCCCCATTTTTATAGTGGAAATATTTTATTTCCACTTGTCTTATATTTCATGAAATGCCTTTGCTTTCGGAAAAATCAGATGTGGTCTGTTGACTGCTGTCTGAAGGACAGCCTCTGAGGGGCTACGACCTTCAAAAGCAGTAGATTGTTACCACCCAGTTGACATGGGAGATCCTATCCTAGAATGTCAATGGGTGAGAAAGGGCTTTGAAAGAGGGTCAGAAAGAGATCCAGTTGAAACTGGCAAAGGCTGGGTAATAGGGTTAAATTGCCTGATTGGCAATGCCAAGAGTAGTTGTGGATTCCCCAAACAGAGGGTCATCAGAAAAGTCTTCCCACTGGACCGTGGAGTGAGCAGTTCTATTATTTAGCAAAAGTTAAACTTTCTTGTTGTCTAGGATTCTGTGGACTAAAGGTTGATCCCACTGTCCAGTGATAAAAGAGGCTGCTAAAATAATGGAATAAGGAGAGATGATATCATGCCTCCTCAGGCCATCCTAGCAAGAATTCATGTTTTTCTTTGGCAGTAAAATATAACACTGATTTTTCCAGTGTCTGGACTATTTACAGCAATGGCAAGTATTGGGCAACATTTGTTTCTGATCCACTGGGACAGCTGAGTGCAGGGAACACTGGGCTGTGAGGGTAGAGATTGGACAGGCCATCCCTCTCCCCCCAGCCCTTCGCCCACCTCTTCGGCCTGGTCAAGACCTCCCTTCTGGGCATGCTGAGCTCACTGGAGGTTCTGAACCTGCAAAGCCACTAATTTTTTTTCTCAGAAGTCTTTCTGATGTTTGAAATTGGCCGTGAAGTGAATAGTTCACGAATTCAGGAAGAGATTTATTTTGCCATTCCACAGGTCTTGAACCTGATCTCTAATTTTGAGGCACAGTCTAGATAAAGGTTCAAGCCAGAGGCCCAGAGGCTTGCTCCTGAGTGGCACACAAATACTGAACACAATAGGTCCGTGAAGTCCTTTTGTTTGCAAGGATTTACTTTTATCCAACCAGTCTTTTCAGTGTAAGCCACCACAATGGCATTTAGTGGGCACTGCCATGGTATTCGATGGACTTTCCCATACCTGAATAAGTTCTTGACCAGTTCCTGGATCCTGCCCTAGCCTCTAAAAGTAGGATTTGGGGGACTTCAGGAGAAGCAAAGAGTAGGAAGTATTAGTTAAATTCTGCCCAGGAGACAATCAGGAAGGGGTATAGGCTTCAATATTAATTTTTAATTCCTTCTTAAACTTCTACACATGGGCATTTCTGAATGACAATAATAATAATAGCTAGCATTTATATAATGCTTTAAGGTTTGTAAAGTGCTTTACAAATATCTCATTTGATCCTCACAACTCTGTGGGGTAGGTCCTACCCCCACTTTACAGATGAGGAAACTGAAGCAGACAGTAATTAAGTGACTTGCCCAGGGTCATACAGCTAGTAAGTGTCCAAGGCCAGATTTGAACCAAGACCTTGATAGTGCTGTATACACTCTAGCTGGATCTCAGGAAATCCCTGTAAAAGGATATTAAATTTGCCTGGATTCCATGCAGGCATGGACAAGAACCAAAACATTTCCCTCAGCACCCTGGCCAGGATATTGTCTGAGAGGAGCTTGCAAAATCTGACCTGAGTGGCATCAAGGAAGAGCAGAGCTGGGATTTAAGGCAGCTGAGCTGGCAGGGGTCAGATGGGGAAATGAAAGAGATGAATAGGAAACATCAGGGTGCTGAGCCAGCAGCTGAACCAGCTGAGCCAGGTTCTTGCCAACGGAACCTCTACCAAGGGGAGAAAGAAGAGTGGGGACCAGAGGGCGGCAGAGAACAAGGTGGTGGTGCTCAGGAGCTGGTGCACAGATCAATAAGATCATTGGGCCTCAGGCTGTTTTTCTTTGTCGGGGGTAAGTGGAGGTACCGAGGAGGAGCTGGAATGGGAGAGGGTGTGTGTGTGTGACATCAGGATGGTCCTGGGGACTGGACTAACCAACAGTCTTTGAAAATTTCTTTTCCTTCAGGAGCCAATACCAGGGAATCTTAAAAATTGGTATTTGGTGCTTTCCACATCCATAGAAAGAACTGATAGATGAATACAGATTGAAGCATACTATTTTCACTTTCTTCATTTTTTTGTGTGGTTTTTTTTTTCCCTTTTGGCCTGTTTCTTTTTTCACAACTGTGACTAATGTGGACATGTTTTACGTGATTGCACATATATAACATGTCAAATTGCTTACCATCTTAAGAAGAAGGGAGGGGAGGAAGAGAGGGAGAAAAGTTTGGCATTCAAAATTTTGTAAAAATGCTAAAAATTGTCCTTACATATAATTGGGGAAAAATACTATAAAAAAAACCATCTAGGTATTTGGGATTTCTGGTGCCATTTTACACTTTCATCATACCAATTTAAGAAGCTCCAAACTGATTTTGAAGAACATAGGTGCCTAAAGAATGAAGGACTGTTCTGAGGGGATTAATCTTGACTAAAGTAAAAGTAGTTTTGAAGGGAAACTGTTTCTAGGATCATCCCATGTCTAAAAATGTTGTGTGTCCAGAAGCTGACAATACCTTGAACTATAATACATTTTTTTTAAACATTTCAGAATTTCAATTTTATTTAGGCAATTGGGACTAAGTAACTTGTTCAGGGTCACACAGCTAGAAAGTGTCAGATGTTTGGTCTGAGGCCGGACTTGAACTCAGGTCCTCCTGACTTGAGGGCCAGTGCTATATCCACTGCACTACCTAGCTGCTCCTTATAATGCATGTTTACAAACTATACTGGTATCTTAATTGGGGAAGAGGGATGGTGAAGGCACTTTGGAACTCTATTGCCCCACCTTCACCCTCTCTTCACTCCAGATAACCTGCTATGAGGACGCTTAACCAACTCCAACAATTTCTAACAAAAATCTCCTAAATCCTGTAAGCAGTGACTAGAAATGAATGAATTTATACACCAACCTTTGTCAAGACAGATTAAAAAAACAACATTCTGTTCTGGGAAGAGTACATACAGAAATCAAACTTTGGAAAAATAAGTCACAGCACACAACAGAAATGCAACACAAAATAGATACCACTAAGATTTTTGGGGAGAGAGCTAGGATTCACAATCTGATGGATACCATGATCAGAGCTCCACAGTACATTTCCCATATCTGCCTTACAAATCACTGAACAAACAGAGCTGGCAACCAGGACCTTGAAGGAAAAAACACCCAAACTTCAAAGTTTTTCAAACAAAATTCAAACAACAATAGATCCATGTCTAAGGGAAGCTTGTGGCTTTCTTACAGGTTAACAGAACCAGAACATGTTGAAAGCAAAGGAATCAACCTCAGTCAGTACCATTCAGAAGCTGCCTTGGTCAATTACAGGAAACGTAATTCCTTCAAGTCAGAAATATATGGATCAGGAAATGTTTCCAGAAGCTAGCTTGGCCACAACCACCATGCAGATTAAGGAATCAGGAAAAACGTCACCCTTCGAACAAGGGCTGCTTGCTTATGTAGAGCAATGCTTCTTTAAACAAGGGGGAAAAATAACAATCATTCACCTGTCTGTGATAAAGCTCTGGCAAGTAACTGAATGGGAATCATAAGAAATATACATATTTCTTGGCTTTCAACATAAAGAACTCATAAAAATTGCAGAAAAGCAGAAATGTAAAATACATATTTTATAGATCACAATGCAGTTAATGTGTTAGTTAAATTGTATAGCTTTGTCCTGACATACGTCCTCTTTGATGAAGGCAGTTCAATGGTCCACCATGTTTCTTCACCTGAGAGTAAAGACCTCTCACCCAGATTACTGAATGAGATTTGGTGAAGGAAGACTTCCCTTCACTTCTGCCCCACACCTACATGCTGACCAACTATAACATCCAAATCCAATAGCACCAAAACTGTGCTCTGCTTACAGCAAGGATAAGGCTTATTTCCTTTACTGGCTAATGCAATCACACAATGGAGACTGCAGAGCTCCATGTGGTTCTGGATAGCAAGAATCTATTACCATAATTTGTATAGTGATAGGGATTGGACTCAAGATTTCATTGGTATAGGGGATTCCCAGGTAAGTAAACACCTTCTACCAATGCAAAGTGATACCTACTCTGCAACTCACAGTTTTAGAACCCTGAGAGGTTAGATGATTTGATACAGCCAGTATGTGTCAGAGGCAGGGCTTGAATGCAGGTCTTTCTGACTTTGAGGCTAGCTTTCCATCCATTATGTCATTTGAATCAAGTTGAACCTTTTTTAAAATTTTGGGGGAACAAATTAAAATATGGTATATTATTGTGTCAATAAGAAATGACAAACTGAGTAATTTCAAAGGAGATTGGGAAGACCTCTGAACTGATGCAAAATGAAGTGAGCAAAAGTAGGAGAACCATTTATACAATGATAATGATATTATAAAGAAAAATGTCTTTGAAATTTAGGACTCTGATAAATTCAATGATAAACTGGTGCCAGAGGACTGAAGATGACGTACTCTAATTGCCTCCTGCCAGTAAAGTGATAGATTTAGTAAGCACAATGAGATACACACTTGTGGGCCTGCCCATGGTGGGAATTTGTTTTGCTTGAATATTCATATTTGTTAGCAGGGTTTTCTTTTCCTTTTTTCTTAATTACCCAATGGGAGGGGGACGGAGAGTGAGAGAAAATCCTTGGTAATGGCAAAAGATAGTAAAATTAAAATTTAAAAATCCTGAGGGAATAAAATTAAAGGATGGGAGATGCAGAATCAAATAATGGGAGGTACAGCATAAGGAGAACAGAGAATGGAAGGGTTTGAGAAACCAATGAACCCATAGAACTATTCACGGTTGGATACATTTAAAGGTGAACCACTGAGGCTTAGCAAGTTCTATGTGGGCCTCCAGAGTGTTCAGAGAAAGGTGTAGATTATGGAAAATTACACAAGCAAGTAGCACAACTCTGTCATTACTCTGTCTAGAGCAAGGGTTCTTAATCCCTACAGGGTCTATGGACCCTGTAGATAGATTTCAGGGGATTGGTCAACTTGGATAAGGAAAAAAAAAATCACATCTTTTATTTTTGCTGACCCTCTAACTGAAATTTAGCCTTTCTTTCAATTAAATCTAGGTAAAAAAAAAAAAAAATATATATATATATATATATATAATTCTGAAAAGGGGTCCATAAGTTCCACCAGACTTCCAAAGGGATCTATACCACAAACAAGTTTAAGAACCTCTATCCTAGACGCAGGGAGATTTCCCAGAATCCTTTAGGGAAGCAATGTCTAAATTACCCAGAGTCCTTTGCGCTAATGCTAAGCTCCTAACAGACCTAGAATCCTGATCCCTCAGAAACCAGCAGGGAGGAGTTATGGGGCAATAGATTTTAATTCAATATGAGGGAGAATATAATAACATTTAGAGCTTCCTGAAAAAGGACTAGGCTGCCTCAGTAGGGAGTGAGTTCCCTATCACTGGGAAGTGTTCAAGAGGAGGCTGGGTGAATGCTTTTGGGGGTTTTGTAGAAAGAATTCATGATTTATGTAAAGACTAGACTAAATTGTCTGAGATTCCTTCCAATTTTGTGATTGTATGTTTTTATGGTTCTGTGAATCTACTTTTCTCTTTGTCTTTCTGCTCAGTCAATGAGAACTTGAGTATTTTTTACCAAGGAAGCAATTGGAATTGCTTGAAATTGCTATCTGATTAAGTAATAATAAAAATACTAATGGTTAAAAATAGATAAGCATGGAAACTACATTATGTTTAGAGGCACCATATGAAATTAAACAATATCAACACTAAGCACATAGGCACCAAATAATGTAATAGCTTAAAAGAAAAGCTAATCAAATTGCACAGATAAGTAAACAGCAAAACAATAATTGTTGAATATTTAAATGTATCTATTTTGGACCTAGATGAATCCAACAGAAAGGTAAACAAGAAAGAAATTAAAGACCTGAATAGAATTTTAGAAAAATTCAGCCTCTGGCAATTACTGAATGGGAATTTTAAGGAATGTGTGTATTTATCAGCCTTAATTGTCCCTTTATAAAAACTGACTGTAATAAGAGATAAAGAACTCATAAAAAACTGACAGACAAAAATATAAAGGAAGCATATTTTATAGATTACAATACAATAAAAATTATAATTAATAAAATATATCTGAGGAAAGAATTCAAACTTAGAGACTAGTAACATCCTAAAGAAATAGTAGGTTAAAGAGCAAATCTCAGAAATAATAAGTAATTTTATTTAAAGAAAAAGAGACAACATGCCAAAACTTTTAGGATGCACCTGAAGCAGGTTTTAGAGAAAGATTCATATCTTTAAAAGCCTTAATCTTTTTTGGCAGTCTGATAAGGTCTATTATCCCTTTTTAAGAATAATGTTTTTAAGTGTATAAAATAAGTGTATTTTTATTTTAGTATATAAGGGTATAAATATATAAGTATATAAGTGTATATATTAGTGTATAAAATAAAATATGGTGTTAAAAAACAGGTTCATAGATCCCAGGTTAAACAAATTCTGCTTTAATTGCTTTCATCAACAATACAAATAAAGAACAGATCAATGAATTGAACATGTAATAAAAAAAAAAAAACAACTAGAAACCAACCAATAAAAATCTTCAAAAAAACAAAAACAGCAATTCCAAAAATTAAAGAAGAGATCAACAAAACTATTGAGATGATAAATTAAACTGAGAAATGCCTTTTTAAAAAAAATACACCATCAGCTAATTTGTTGCTTTTTTTTTAAGACAGAGGAAAACAGATTTACTAAAATCAAAAACAAAAAAAAGGAAACACAAGTGATGAAGAGGAAATAACAGAAACTATTAGCTATTCTTATGCCTAATTATGTGCCAAAAAGTTTAAAGGAAATGGATGAATATTT